TTTGGAAAGTAGAAGGCTGAAGTGGCATAGAGAATAGTTGTCTGTACCATCATGAAGCGTGTGGCCCAAGTGGCCAGGGAAGTGTTGTTCACCAAGTCCCAGATATACTAGAAGACTGAGAGGGGACTGAATAGCAGCCTTCAACTCCCTGCAGGGTGGTTCAAAAAAGGCTAGAACTGGACTCTTGTCAGTGGGGGCAGGTGACAGAAGAAGGAGCAATGGGCTCAAAACCTGCCGTCGAAGTACCAGGCAAAGGCAAGAGGTGGAGGCTGACAGAAGCCCAGCAAAGGGCTAGTGCAAAGGGCAGCGTGCGCAGCCGCGGGCACGTTTCATAGGCGTCGGGCAGAGGGCATTGGAAGGAGGCAGTGACTTGGTGGATGTCGCCCCCTCCATGAGGGGCAGCAGGGGGGAGTCCTTGTTGGAAAGTGGGCAGGGGAGGCAAGGAGGGTGAGCAGAGCTGGCGGCTGGGCGGTTGGTTGGTGCAGCAGAGGAGATGCATTTGCCCAGGCCCAGGGGTGGATGGTGCTCTCGTCCAGAGGCGAGATGACCAGAGCTGGGTCACTTTATCTTGTGTGGGGACAGGGAAGACCAGGTGCACCCGCAAGATTGAGAATCTGGATCTTTGCAGCGTATCTGAGCCCCCCGACAGCAGCGGGACATTGGGGGCCGCGGCCCCCCTGTGTCCCAGGGCGGGGGCGATGCCAGGGGCTGTGTCAGGGGTGACTGTGTCGTGCTGCTCGGAGCTCAGACACGGGGTTTGTCTGGGCCGGTTTGCACAGGGCTGCGACCCTCGCAGGTCCCTGCCAGCCCTGCTGCTCCGGGATGCTCTGAGAAGGGCTGGGCTGGGGGTGCAGCACAGGCAGGCGGGCAAGGGCCTTCCAGGCTCTGCTGGGCTGCAGGAGGGCTCCAGGGGCAGGCTGCGCAGCTGGCCCAGCTGCCCGCAGGGAAAGGCCACATGCCAGACCCCACCATTGTGCTCTGACCAGCTCCAGACGCTGCTGTGGGGAAGCTGCGCCTGCTTCCACTTAGGCCAAGGCGATGCCCTGCAGCCCTGGGCCCTGCGCCCCAGCCGGATGCAGCGAGCCCCGGTGCAGGGCATGCACGCAGCCCTCTGCCACGATCCAGCGCGGAGCCCCAAAGGCCTGCCCGTGCCCTCTCCACCCCTCGTCTGGCAAAGAGCTGTGGCGGGTGTGGGGGCTGCATCATGGAGGAGTGGGCACGGGCCGGCTGTGGCGAGCCAGTAGGAGGTGCTCCTACGTTGAGCCCCCACCTCCCTGCGCCGGACCACCCTCCCAGCCCCAAGCGCCTCCCTGGGGCGCCTCATGTCCAGCCGACCCCTTCCTGGAGCACACACGCTAGCCTGGGGGTAACGTAGCTGCCACCACCCCGAGAAGGGCCTCTCTTGGCCCTGTGTCCTCAGGGAAACACAGGCCTAATAGTCCTACGGGTACTCAACCCAGTACAGGCACTGGGGGCTCTTCCCCAAGTCGGGGCCGAAAAGGAAAGTCTCTCTTAGTCTGCAGACCTAAGGGGCCTCTCAGGCATAATTTAGACCCACCCCTCAAGAAGTCTCCTACACCAGTCACAAAGGAGAACTGTATTGATTACAGGGGTAGGGTAACAATGGGGTACAGGATAGAGCAATATCATAGAAATCCCGTCTAGCAAAACAGTCTGGCTGAGGCAGCCTTTTGATCACGCATCTGAGTTACTGCCAGCTAGATATCTAACCAGATCTCGAGTCGCTTACTCACAAGCGTCATCCCGAGGCTGTTGGAGATCCCCTCTGGAGGCAGGCTGTTCCTAGCTCATAAGTTATGGCGGAGAGAGCCAGTTTCAGATGGTCAAGCTCCTCTCTACCTCCGAGTCCCCACACGGCTGCTGCCCCCTCCTCCTGGGCAGTCTTAACTCATATAGCCCCTGTGACCTTGTTCACCTGGTCCAATGGAGGCCAGCACCTGTTGGCTGTCGGCCAACCAATTTGAAATCCATCACTAGTTGCTGGGCAGACTCTAGCCCACCAGGTACAAGCCCCTCATCCAGGTAGCTGATACCAGTCCCGTAGGCAGAGGGAGCAGGTTCCCCGCCTCAGGGATGTATCCAGATCAGGTTCCCTAAAGAAGGTAAGGGCGTGTCTCCTCTGCTGGGCCCATCCTAATCACATTGTCACAGCACAGAGATTTTGGGGAGAAACAAAGGTGGCTTCCTGCCACAGGCTGTGCCGCCCCTTTCTCCAGTGTGCTGGGAGAGACGTCCGGGTCCAGCCCGTGTTGAGGAATCTAGCACAGCCTTGGAGGTAACGCCGTTTCTCTAGAATCATAGAAATGAGGGTGGAAGGGACCCCAGGAGGTCACATCTAGTCCAATCCCCTGCTCCAAGCAGGACCAGCCCCAACTACATCATCCCAGACAAGGCTTTGTCTAGCCAGGTCTTAAACACCTCCAAGGATGGAGACCGCACCACCGCTCTGGGGAGCCTGCGCCAGTGCTTCACTACCTTCCTCATGGGCGAGTTTTTCCTAGTATCCAACCTCAAAGTCCCTTGCTGCAGCCTGAGCCCATTGCTCCTTGTCCTGTTGTCTGCCCCCACTGAGAACGGTCCAGCCCCATCTTCTTTGCAGCCCCCGGCAGGGAGGTGACGGCTGCTATTCAATCCTCCTCACCCCGAACCATTTTCGCTGCTCTCCGCTGGACTCTCTCCAACATGTCCACATCCTTTCTGTAGTGGGGCCCAAAGCTGGACACAGGACTCCAGATGTGGCCTCACCAGTGCTGAACAGAGGGGAATCACTGCCCTCCACCCGCTGGCACCGCTCCTACCGATGCAGCCCCGGATGCCAGTTGCCTGCTTGGCACCAAGGGCACACTGGCTGCAGGTGCCGCAGGACAGCGTGTTTTGCCCCTGCGGAGAGCAGAGCCTGAGGGCAGGAGTAGGGGGGTGGCCGGCTCCCCGCAGAGGGGCAGGGACACCTGTCCTCTGAGTTACAACCTGGGTTTTGTTTCTTCCCAGCCAGGTCTCTAGACAAACTCTATAACTTTGCGGACTGCTCTGGCCTTCACCTGATCTTTGCACTGAACGCCCTGCGCCGCAACCCCAACAACTCCTGGAACAGCTCCAATGCGCTCAGCCTGCTCAAGTACAGCGCCAGCAAGAAGTACAACATCTCCTGGGAGCTGGGCAATGGTGAGTGCCCCGAGCCAGGTCCACCGGGACGGGCCTCCCCAGTGGGAGAGCCCCCTCGAGCTGGAGAGGGACTCTGAACACACGTGGTGGCATCCCAGTCAAACGCCCCTGTCTGCTGGCACCGCGCACCGGGCACCCAGGGCACGCAGACCAGCGGCCCTCCGGCTGCGAGGGAAAAGGGACGAGCACAAGACCCAGGGGCAGGGGATGCAGGGAGTCTGTGATGGGGAAAGCCCGCTGTGAGAGGAGCCGAGTGGCAAGCATCATGCGCGCGTGTGTTTTCCCAGAGCCCAACAACTACCGGACTCTGATGGGGCGTTCAGTGAACGGGAGCCAGCTGGGGAAGGACTACGTCCAGCTGAGGAGCCTGCTGCAGCTGATCCGCACCTACTCCAGAGCCAGCCTCTATGGGCCCAACATCGGGAGGCCCAGGAAGAACGTCATCGCTCTCCTGGAAGGGTAAGTGGTGCCGCGTGGGCCGGGCCGACATCCGGGGACATGGAGTCTCTCCTGGCCGAGGCTGATGGAGGCCAAACAGACCCCTGTGGGGAACCAGGGAGTCTGGCTGGGAGAGCCTGGCCCGCGGTGCCCACAACAGCTACCGCTCCTAAGGACCCCGGCAGCCCCTCGCTGCTGCTTGCAGATGTGTCCAGCTGTGCCCCGGGGGCTTTGCGTTCATGCTGCTGCCTGCACCTTCCCCTGGCATAGCGAGCACTCCCGACAGGGCCCGTCTCCCGGTGCGTCTGCACGGGACCTGGCACCGGGGCCCCATCCGAGACTCCAGCGAGACGAGAGCGGTAGCGGTTAGGACAGGTGAAGGGGTGAGCGTGTGCGTCTCACTGCCCAGGGGAAGGCCGAGGCACGTGGGTCCGAGAAACCGCTTCCTGCGTGGCTGGGGGACCGGGCTCCCTCGGGCAGCTCGGCCGGCGTGGGGGTGTAGGGGTTCGGGCAGCGTCTGTGGCACTGTGATGGGCTTTAGGGCTTTGCTGTTGCCAAGATCTCCCCGGCTGCCTCCGTAGCGCAGGCTGCGGGGCAGAGCCGAGGATGGTCTTCTGCACAGTCATTATCACAATTGTTGCACTTCACGATCTCGCTCAATTGAGGCAAATCCCCACTTCTGAAGCCAGGGTAGGGCTCAGGCCGTGCCGCTGTGGGCTGGTCTGTCACAGCTGTTCGATCCCTGCTAACGGCACCGCTGGGCTCTGACACAACACAGGACATCACACCTGAGCCTGCCCCGGGGAAAGCAGGGGAGATGCTGCAGAGAGCCCAGGCAGAGCCGTGCCCCCGCCGCAGACGAAGGGAAACTCCCCCAGTCCGGACCAGTCCGACCAGAGGGAAAATCCTTTCTTGCCCCCAAATCTGGAGTCAGAGAGGAAAGAGCTGCAATAGCACACGCAGGGAGCTGTGGCCGTGGCCGTGGCCGATGCAAACAGGCGACGCGGGGCATGGGCGAGAGGCGCGGAGCCCGGCCCGAGCAGGATTGCCGTGCAGCAGAGCGGGGTCCCTGCAGAGCACTAGCCGGGCCGGGGGGGGAGCGGCCCCGCTGGGATCCGCGCCGGGGCTCGTGTTTGCTAACATCTGTGCGAATGATCTGGCAGAGACAGTAAGCAGCACACCCGTGCAGCCCCGGTGGGCCCGGTGGAGAGCGAGGGCCAGGTTCTCAGACCTGCCGCAGCAGCGCCGAGGGGCCGTAAAGCCGCCTGAACCAGGCCCGGGGGGGGGTCCCTCTGAGACGGGAGGGGGCCAAGGCAGCCAGGTGCAATGAAAAGTCGTCTTGAGGCTGCTCTATGATGCACGAGGAGCTGCGCTGCCTCGGAGCCGGGCCCAGGACAGAGGCACTCGCATGGGGGTGCTTTCCCCCTCACCCCCCCTCGATTTGGGTGTTGGCCAGCTGGAGCCGCGAGGAGGGGGTCAGCAGTGGACAGGGGACTGTCCAGGTGGGATGGGGGAGAGCTGCTTGGTGACCGGTAGGGCAGGAAGCTGCTGGACTCGTGCCTTCCTCTGCCCAGGACACGGTAGAGCAGTGAACCTGGGGGCAGCAGCTTGTGCCCATAATCTGGAAAGTGCCTGGTGACAGCGCCAGGCTGCGCGCTGCTGGAGAAGGGGCGGCCGTGCAGCCAGGCCACCACTTGCACCGCACGCCCTGCGCTGCCTGATGGCTCCTCGCCGCCGCAGCCACCTCGTGCTGCGGGCGAGGAAGTGGAGGCAGAGGCGACAAGACCTGCAAAGGCCCCGCGAGGCCTCAGTGTTACCCTGGCAAGTTCGTCCCGAGCTCCCCCTCCGAGTGGGGCGGCTGCCTGGATGCAGACGTGTGAGCCCGCAGGTGCAAGAGGGAATTTCTGCAGGCGGGTTTGATGAGGTGTTAATTGGCCCATTCATGCAGCTGAGCGGTTGGAGAGCAGACCATGGTAGCTACCTACTGAGCCGGGGGACAGGAATCCCAGGACTGCGTGGAGCTGTTTGCTTGGGAATTTGCAGCGATTCTAGCTGCAGAGCAGGAGCTGGAGGC